GGATCAGGCATGCCGAAGCTTATTGGGATAGATGTATGAGCAAAGAGTTGAACCTTAAATAATAGTAAAGCAATAAATTGTCTTCTAGAAAGTAAGGGAAAAGGTCCAGAAATTTTTTATGAACGTCTGATTTGAGAAAGTGAAAGTGTCTAATTTAATTTTTGAACCTGTCCAAAAAAAAAAAAAAGCGTCCAGATTGAAATCAAAAACTGTCCAATACAATTTTTGAAATCGTCTAATTTTAGACTAAAATACTGTAACTTAACAGACTATTTAGCTCTCAGGCTTACAGAGAGAGTCGTTGAGGAAAAAGGTTGCTAAGCAGCCAAAAAGCTGTAAAATCGAATTTGAGAGTGTACAGTGATTATAACGACAAGGAAAGAGAAAGGGCCTGTTGTCTTGAGAGTCAATTACAGTGAAGTTTGATATACCAATGGAGCTCAGAGACAGTAAAAATTTTTAAAAAGCTAAATATTGGTTATAACAATCACCAAGGAAAGCTCCACGGGCACTATGACGGGCCATTGTTTACAATTGATTTAAAGATTTGTTATATGCATCCATGTTGCCGACAAGGTAAGTGCTGTGATTGTTTCATAAGGTTGAAATGAGGACATTCAATAAAAGATACAGTTTCTTTATTAAAATAGATGATGACCTGTATACTAAATTATCAATCGATATAAATGAAGTAATGTTATCCAGTCATGCAATAGGTTTCATATAGTTGTAATTAAAATGCTCAAAATGTTGGGTCATGATGATCTGGATGTAATTATTGATGTATTATTCTAGATAGTCAGGCAATTAATGTTTATCAGGTAAGTTAATGAATATGATGTGATATAGTTATGGATATTTCATGTATACAACATTGATGATAGAAGGACAGCGATAAGAAAGTGGCTCAGTGTATCGTACCAAATTTCTTGCTCTTGAAATGAATGGACAGACCATAATTAGGTATTAACTTCCAAAGCCTGCAGATTTTTTAAAAGGAACTATGTCTATATTGATTCCAAGTTGTATCAATGAAGGCAAAGGTCAATAATAGGACGTATTGCTATGAACAATTTAACAGAAGATTAATACTATTGAATGAAACAATATATTATTACTTATCCTTGACTTTTCAAAAACAAGCAGGCTTCATCAAATGCGTAATGAAAAATATTAATCCAATAACCACCATTCAGAAGTACTGAATAGCTATGTCGATACTGGGAAAGAGTCCTAGCTATAGGATTAAGCGGACGAGGCAGTTCCTATCTTACAAAGTTCCCTAATAGGCTTGCCCTTCTGTCGACAAGCAATAAATGCTAGTCCAAGTCATTGTTTGATTACGCATCTGATAAAAATCAGCACAATAACAATATTAATCCAATAACCACCATTCAGAAGTACTGAATAGTTACTGTCGATACTGGGAAAGAGTCCTAGCTATAGGATTAAGCGGACGGGGCAGTTCCTATCTTACAAAGTTCCTTAATAGGCTTGCCCTGCTGTCGATAAGCAATAAATGCTAGTCCAAGTCTTTGGTTATTGTGGTGAATAAATGATGGGCCAATGTTAGGCGCATTACAGATTACATTTTTAATATGCAGTCCCAAATGTAGTGCGTGCACTATAAGAAAATGTCCTGCATTTGTATAATCAAGCGTTATTTATTATGAACTATTAATTGATGTATTGCTATGCACTGCATGCTGTCAAACTACTATCAATGATTTTATATTATTAATAGGACCTTTTGTTACGGATACTTAAGGATTATAGCAATAAATACACTCTTTCAGGAAAGTAAATTCTTCCAGTTGCGAGAACAAAATTCAGGTTGTACGAAAAATAAATTCTCCCTGAAGGAATATCAATTCATCTGATGACAGAAACAAAAATCCGTGTTGTGTGAAATGTAAATTCGTCTTGGCTGATAAATCATACGCCCTACTGCTTGTAGTACAAGCCTTGGCCTCTTTGGATATAAAAGAGCACGCAAATGTTTTTCTTTGTTTTATTTCTTTTTCATAACAACATCAGAAAACACAGGTTATGGAAATTCAATTCTTATTTGAGAAGGGGAAAGCTGCTGCTGTCGATGAGTATGGCAGACCTGAACCAATGAATTATATTATCGATGAGGAGCAGCTCCATCTTGAAACGTTGAGCTCTCATACACGATATTTGGCTCAACTGCTTCTGGAGAGCGAGAAAGAAGTAGAGATAATGCAAATCGTAATTGTGATGTTGTTATGAAGGAGACGTCAGTAAAGCAAAATTATACCCGCTATTCAAATCACGATAAAATGAGATTCTTCAAGTTGGTGTTTGGGAAGTGCCTGAGTGCAGTCGCTGCTTCAAAATAGCTTGGGATCTACGTTCGTACAGAACAAAAACAGGCTGCGTAATACGAGAGAGATCTTGACAGTATCTTTGAGAAACGGAGAAAGACTGACCGCCCATGTATTCTCCATGAGGAACACAAAAACGTTATTCTCGAGTACATTGATGAAAATCCTTCCGTCGTCTTAGACGAAGTAATGAAGAAGTTAAAGCAAACATTTACAGAATTAAAAGTATCTAAAACGAATTTGTTTGATTTTGTAAAACAATATTGCAATTTGTCTCTCAAAAAAGCTCGATTTCAACCCATAGATTGGAACTACGAAGAAAAGATTCAAGCGCGATTGAATTGGATTCGTAAGTGGGAAAAAACAGACATGGATTTTACGAGAAACTGTATCTTTCTGGATAAATCTGCTTTTCATGTTAATTTGAAACGTAGCATGGCATGGCCAAAGAAAGGCACACCGGTAGTGGCCACAGTTTCCAAAACACGAGCAACAACAACAACAATTTTAGGCGCGATTTCTGCTGAAGGTCTAATCAAATGTAGCCTTAGACTTCCTCAGCCTCCATCTAATAAAAGGAGAAAACGGAGAGATGGCGTTGGGCAAATGAGCAAAGGAACGGTTACGGGACACTATATCAGCTTTCTAAAAGCTACAATGGATGAAATGGATCGTTATCCACACATGAAAGGCCATTACCTCGTGATGGATAATGCTCCTATCCATACATCAGCCAACATAGCCAAATACGTAAAATTTCGCGGTTACTACTGCGCTTATTTACCTCCATATTCTCCTGAACTCAATTGAATCGAGCATTTCTGGTCAATGGTCAAAAGTAGAGTGAAGCCCAATAAGTTTCTCGAGAAGGAAACTTTGATGACCCGGATCAATGAAGTATCTAATATCTAGAAACTAAGGAGTTGTTAGACATTCTCATAAATGCTTGGGCAAATATCGTAATAGGCAGGTACTCTGAAGAAGTTATCATTCTACAAAAAAAGGGCATTGGTGTCAAA